AGAAAGGGAGTTTGGAGGAGTTGCTAGCGTCAATGGAGAAAAAATGGGAGACGTGAAGCTACTAAAAAAGAAGAAGAAATATGGAAAAATCAGGTAGTAGTTCAATTCCATGATTTTTTTTAGTGATGATTTTGGTGTGCCGCAAAAACCATTTCTAAAACTAAAAACCCTCTTTTTAAAAATTTTTTATTTCCTTCCAAAAAATCATCACTAAGTTTGGTATTTATCGATGATTTTTTGAAAACCGTTGCTAAAAAACAATGTATTTAGAGATAGTTCTCAAAAAACCATAGCTAAACCCCTCTTTTTTCAAGGGTTTTATATGTTTTATTTTAGCTACGGTTTATGCAAAAACCGTTGCTAAAATCCCTCGCAAATGATGGTATGTAGTGATGATTATATAAAACCATCGCTAATTACCTATTTTTTTTTTGGAATTAGCCACAATATTCTAGAACTGTCGCTAAATAAAAAAAAATGATTTTTAGCCATGATTTCATTAAAACCATTGCTAAAAACTAAAAAAAAAAAAATTAGAATCTACGACAAATTGAAAAATGTTACTAAAGGTAAACATTTGAAACAAATTAGTAATTTTTTATTCACTAATTCATGGTTTTAGCGATGATTTTTAATACCGTCACTAAAAAAACATTCGCAAATAGAGAAAATTTTTATAGTGATGTAAGATCGTCAATATGTCATTGTAGTTGGAGGATATTGACAGTTGAGTGTTAGGATGGGCAAAATTGAATGTTGAAGAAAGAGTTTTTGGGTTTTCAAAAGTAGAAAAGTATGGAGATTGGAGAAGTAAAAAGACTAGGGCTAACTTCTTTTTTAGTTTTCTCGCAAATGACACTATTGATGATACAATAAAGTTCAAGCATCAAAGTTAATTGTAGTTGATATTCTACCTCCTTGAGATAGTTGGAAAAATTGTCATGGTGGCCTTTTAGAGTTCTGCAAGCATGGAGGATGAACATGATGTTAGTGATGGGAGGGGGCTGCATAGTCACTTTGATAGTTTTGTTGGTTTTTTTAATATATATATTTGTGAGAGTGCTTTAACGGGGTGACACAAAATGAAAACATATCTACATAAGACTAATAAAGGCCAATAAAAGGCAAAAGAAGTCAATTTAAGCCAATATATGCTCACACAAAGCAAAATACCCTTTAAGGCACAATGACCTCAAATACACATATAAACACAAATATCTTCGGACTAAGGATGTCAATGGGCCGGTTACTCGGCCCATTAAGCCAATCTCATGACCTACACACTATAAAATACTATACCTATTATCCATTAAACCCCTCTTTTTTCAAGCGGTTTTATATGTTTGATTTTAGCGACGGTTTATGCAAAAATCGTTGCTAAAATCCCTCGCAAATGATGCTATGTAGTGATGATTATATAAAACCATCGTTAATTACCTTTTTTTTTAAATTAGCGACAATATTCTAGAACTATCGCTAAATAAAAAAGGATTTTTAGCGATGATTTCATTAAAACCATTGCTAAAAACTAAAAAAAAATCAGAATCTACGACTAATTGAAAGCCGTTACTAAAGGCAAACATTTGAAACAAATTACCAACTCGTTTATCACTAATTCATGGTTTTAGCGATGATTTTTAATACCGTCACTAAAAAAAAATTCACAAATAGATAAATTTTTTTGTAGTGATGGTTTTCTTCTAATGTTGGCAAACCGATCGTCAACGTTCTTAGTTATTTTTTAGCTTGTAAATATGCTTTTGTAAGATCGCCAATATGTCATTGTAGTTGGAGGATATTGACGAGTTGAGTGTTAGGATGTGCAAAATAGAATGTTGAAGAAAGAGTTTCCTGGTTTACACTAGTAGAAAAGTATGGAGATTGGAGAAGTAAAAAGGCTAGGGCTAACTTCTTGTTTAGTTTTCCACAAATGACACTATTGATGATACAATAAATTTTGAGCATCGAGTTAATTGTAGTTGATATTCTACCTCCTTGAGATAGTTGGGAAAATTGTCATGGTGACCTTTTAGAGTTCTCGCAAGCATGGAGGATGAGCATCGATGTTAGTGGTGGGGGGTCGCATAGTGACTTTGATAGTTTTGTTGGTTTTTTTTAATATATTATATATTTATTTTTTTATTTTTACTTTTTTGTGAGAGTGCTTTGACAAGGTGACACAAAACGAAAACATATCTATGTAAGACTAATAAAGGCCAATAAAAGGCGGAAGAAGTCAATTCAAGCCAATATATGCTCACACAAAGCAAAATACCCTTTAAGGCATAACGACCTCAAATACACATATAAACACATATATCTTCGGACTAAGGATGGCAATGGGCCGATTACTTGGCCCATTAAGCCAATCTCATACCTTATCCACTAGAAAATACTATACCCATTATCCACTAAGAATCACTTATCCCTCGCAAATGATGGTATGTAGTGACGATTATATAAAACCATTGCTAATTACCTTTTTTTTTTTTTGGAATTAGCAACAATATTCTAGATATGTCGCTAAATAAAAAAAGGATTTTAAGCGATGATTTCATTAAAACCATTGCTAAAAACTAAAAAAAAAAATCAAAATCTATGACTAATTGAAAACCGTTACTAAAGGTAAACATTTGAAACAAATTAGCAACTCGTTTGTTCACTAATTCATGGTTTTAGTGATGATTTTTAATACCGTCACTAAAAAAACATTCGCCAATAGATAACTTTTTTGTAGTGATGGTTTTCTTCTAATGTTGGCAAACCGATCGTCAACGTTCTTAGTTATTTTTTAGCATGTAATAATGCTTTTGTAAGATCGCCAATATGTCATTGTAGTTGAAGGATATTGACAAGTTGAGTGTCGGGATAGGCAAAATAGAATATTAAAGAAAGAGTTTCCTAGTTTTCAACGAGTAGAAAAGTATGGAGATTGGAGAAGTAAAAAGGCTAGGGCTAACTTCTTGTTTGGTTTTCCACAAACGACACTATTGATGATACAATAAATTTTGAGCATCAAAGTTAATTGTAGTTGATATTCTACCTCCTTGAGATAGTTGGGAAAATTGTCATGGTGGCCTTTTAGAGTTCCGCAAGCATGGAGGATGAACATCGATGTTAGTGGTGGGAGGGAGGCTACATAGTCACTTTGATAGTTTTGTTGGTTTTTTTAATATATTATATATTTATTTATTTATTTATTTGTCGAGTGCTTTGAAAAGGTTACACAAAACGAAAACATATCTACGCAAGACTAATAAAGGCCAATAAAAGGCGGAAGAAGTCAATTCAAGCCAATATATGCTCACACAAAGCAAAATACCCTTTAAGGCATAACGACCTCAAATACACATATAAACACATATATCTTCGGACTAAGGATGGCAATGGGCCGGTTACTTGGCCCATTCAGCCAATCTCATACCCTATCCACTAGAAAATACTATACCCATTATCCATTAAGAATCACTTATCCTTGTCAAATATCGTATGTAGTGACGATTATATAAAACCATCGCTAATTAACTATTTTTTTTGGGATTAGAGACAATATTCTAGATCCGTCACTAAATAAAAAAAGGATTTTTAGCGATGATTTCATTAAAACCATTGCTAAAAACACAAAAAAAATTTTAGAATCTACGACTAATTGAAAACCGTTACTAAAGGCAAACATTTGAAACAAATTAGCAACTCGTTTATTCACTAATTCATGGTTTTAGTGACGATTTTTAATACTCGTCACTAAAAAAACATTCGCAAATAGATAACTTTTTTGTAGTGATGGTTTTCTTCTAATGTTGGCAAACCGATCGTCAACATTCTTAGTTATTTTTTAGCTCTGTAATAATGCTTTTGTAAGATCGGCAATATGTTATTATAGTTGAAGGATATTGACAGTTGAGTGTCGGGATGGGCAAAATAGAATGTTGAAGAAAGAGTTTCCTAGTTTTCAATAGTAGAAACGTATGGAGATTAGAGAAGTAAAAAGGCTATGGCTAACTTCTTGTTTAGTTTTCCACAAACGACATTATTGATGATACAATAAATTTCGAGCATCGAGTTAATTGTAGTTGATATTCTACCTCCTTGATATAGTTGAGAAAATTGTCATGGTGGCCTATTAGAGTTCTGCAAGCATGGAGGATGAACATCTATGTTAGTGGTTGGAGGGGGCTGCATAGTCACTTTGATAGTTTTGTTATTTTTTTAATATATTATATATTTATTTATTTATTTATTTTTGTGAGAGTGCTTTGAAAAGGTGACACAAAATGAAAACATATCTACGCAAGACTAATTAAAGCCAATAAAAGGCGGAAGAAGTCAATTCAAGCCAATATATGCTCACACAAAGCAAAATACCCTTTAAGGCATAATAGCCTCAATGGGTCGACTATTCGGCCTATTAAGCCAATCTCATACCTTACCCACTAAAAAGTACTATACCCATTATCTACTAAGAATCACTTATCCATTTTTTTACCTAGCCCATATTATTGTATCATAACCTCGCCATACCTTATCCAGATCCGTTTACTCATTAACATTTTTTTCCTAAATTGAAGGGTTTTTTTTCAATCTTTTTACTCGATTTTTTTTTTACAAATTATTTTTGTCTAGACTCTTTTTATATAATAAGAATTTTCTATATAATTTTTTATTTATATATTATGAAATAAAAAAAGATAATAAAAACAAGTAATATGAAAAGATTAATGAAAAATAAAATACTCTTAAAATAAAATAATATTAAATTAACTATGTTGAACATCATTTAAAAAATCAATTAATTAGTTTCTAAAACAAGATAAACTATTCAATTCATTTTTGTAAAACTAGAGAGACTAATTTATGATTTATTCCAAAAATGAATATGTTACTTGAGTAGCTTATTTCAAATACCAAAACAGAGAAATAAAACGAAAAGAAATAAGGATAAATTATACTCGCATTCTTACTAACGAGGTAATCCTCTACCTCCCCATCCCATGCATGCCTTACCGGGTTCGTACCGAGTTGACTCTTAACGGAAATCTCAAATCTTTATCTCTCAAGTGGTCTCTTAATAAGAAAGTGGAGAAAGTTACCTCATTACGTACCTCCATATAACACATAAAAAAAGAAAAGGATGCAAGAAACCCGAAATGAAAATGATAAATTTATACCTCTAGTTTTGTAAAGTAATATCAATTCATTTTTTATGTTAATGAGTAAAAAATAGATATTAATAGAGTAAAAAAAGATAATCATATTTATAAATAAATTATCCATTAACATAAATAGGTAATACTATTTTATTCATATTTATCTCATTATCTATTAGAATATTTTAAAAGGATAATTAAATAGACGAATTAGGCGAGGTACCTTTTTCATACCCAGCCACTGCCATCCATACTTCAGAGTCAAGGCTATGCATACACAATATACTCAAAATCCCATAAGAGTGATTATACTGGACCATCCTCATTCCTCGCACCTCTAGTGTATATGTTCATTTTTTATACTTGCTGACTCTATAGGACACTATAGCTAATTTTTCCAGCTATTTCAAAGAAGCTGATTATCAATTACAAATAACTCTGATGGCCGAAATCCACGGCATCATGTCTACCAATGAGTTAATGCGTGTGGACAGACAAGGCCAATAGGAAACTTAGGTCAACCAGAGGAGGCCTAAAATGTGCTTGGAAGAACATGGAAACTAACCACTTCAATTCATTTTGCACTTCCATGGCATTGTGGCGAATTGACTCGAGACTGGTAGATTTAGTATTGAATCCAAAATGTATGCCTTCCTTTTCCACTGTTGACTTGTAGGCCTTCCTTTTCCACTTCCTATATATCGTAAGGCATGCATTTATTGCCATGTCCATCAGCTATCAATTGTTGCTTCTCTCTTTACGCGTTTATCCTACCCTTGCTTTGCCTTTTCTTGCGCCTAATCACCCGACGACGAGCAACTAGCATGATTTTGGTGTTTATAGCCAAAACAGGAAAATGGGTCAACTTTTGTGCAGTCCAAATCTAGATTATTCGGTTTGAACAAAATTTTTGTTCTTATGCAGCCTTCAAACTTCAATCGCAAGAGACAAGCAAACTTTGCTTTAGGGGAATCATATTTGCACAAGTTAATAAACAATATATTACTTAAAAAGAACTTGTAGAAGACAAGGAAAATAAATTATGAGTTAGAAAGAGAAAACACCTGTGCCCCACATGTTTTCTTTTGGTTTGTCTATGCATAAGTATCTATATACATGTTTTCTACTTTATTTTTTTTTAATAGTAAATGTATTCTTAAACCAATTACATGGAGATCGAAATAATTAATCTTAAACAGATCGTTCATAAATAATCGTTCACATGTTTTCTGTAAGATTTGAATTCCTTTAGTTTACAAAACGACACGTGACAATTTTTCTAAACATTTTAATATAGCATCTGTTAACTAGCAATATACAAGGTTATTAATGATACTGATATACTAGTACAAGAAAAGGAATTCGAGGTTCAATTTTTTTTTCTTTTACACTTGAAAAATTAATCATTTTCAATTATATTTGATGGGTACAAATTGATATTAAAATTAGAGATTACATGTAACCCTCGAGAAAATCCTTAATCGTAAAGCGACGAATATGAGACTCGTTATATATCCGTATATCTATGAAGTGTACGTATACTTCTCATCACACCATGAGAAGTTAATACTTTAAATGTGTGATATATGTTATATTAAAGTTATTGTGCTTCAAATTAATGGTCTAATTCTTAAGGAAATCAATTATGCAAAATTAGTGTTTTAAGACACATATTATGTCCGAATTTTATGTGATTTATTTGAGAACTTTAGAATAATTTTCGGATAACACTTAAAGAATAAAAGTTGTTTGCCTATGTGTCTAATAGCTCTATTTAAAATTTCATAATTTTTAGACATATAAATAACAAGTTATGTCCATTGTAGTACAGCTAGGTTTTCATGAAACACTGCTGGAATTTTGGGAAAAGAAATTTCGAATTTTGGGGGGAAAGAAATGTTGGCTGATGAAAACAAGTTAGTACGGGACTTTGTTAGTTGAATTACTTAGTTAGCTTAATTATACACCTAAGCACTTGAATTAACGGCATGAAAGCCAACTCACCCAATTTTCCACCTCAACGTGCCACCTTCACCCCGACTCACCCATATACTTTACACTTTGTCCAATTACTTCAAGACACTTAGAGGCCTATTTAATGCAAAGCAAGGGAAGACATATATATAGAGAGAACAAGAGGGAATGACAGAGATTTTTGGAAAGGGATTATTAACTACCAAATGAGAGAAAAATGGTAATGAAGAGAGAAAGGAAAGAAAAAGAAAGAGAGAAAGGAAATAAGAGAAGGAAAAGAAGGAAAAAGCTTACCTTAAAATAAGTAGGTTACCTTTTCTTGTTTATATCATTTATTTCATCTTTATACTATTGATTTAATCTTTATACACTTGGTTAAACTTGTTGCAAATAGTTGTGTTACTTGGCTTGTGATGTGTTGTTGTGATTAGTGGTGTTAATTGGCTTGCCTTGCAATTTTATGGATATGGTTGACTATAGTGATTGATTGTGTTGGTTGTTTTCCAAACCCTAGTGATGCCTTGTATATAGTTTAATTCATGTTTGGGGATGAGAATGATGGAATTTGGGCTGACCAAAACATGGTGGGTGAATTTGGGGTTGATATGGACTTAGATAAAGGAAAATAGGAAGGAAAGAAAAATGAAATTTTAGGGTTTTCGTTAACAAAATTTCAGTTAGAGAGTTACACGGCCTCCCACACGGGCTTGTCTTTGCCCGTGTAATGTACATGACCTCCCACACGGGTGTGTCTTTGCTCGTATAATTAAGAAATGCATTTTTCTTGAAGTCGGAGACTTACACGGACTCCCACACGGGCGTGTCTTTACTCGTGTAATGTCAAAACGTGTTTTTCTTCAAGTTAAAGAGTTACACGGCCTCACACATGGGCGTTTCTTTACCCGTGTAATGTCAAAACATGTTTTTCTTCAAGTCGGAGAGTTACACGGCCTCCCACATGGGTGCGTCCTTGCCGTGTAATTGATCGGTCACAAAAACAAAACAAAAATTCATTTCTTTCATACTTTCTTTATTTCCAATTCTTTTACCAAGACAACTTAATAAATGGTCTATTAGGCTCAAATATATAGAAACTAAAGATAGAAAGGTAAAGCCACAAGAGAATCGAGACTTGAACTTAAAGACTTCTAAAACGAAAAATACTACCATAAAACCTTAAAAAGTGGTTCACATGCTAATAACTATAGAAGTTAAAGGTGAAAGAAGGTGTGACCTCCAATGAGGTAAATATTATGATAAGTGGTATGAGGTTATCCGAAACCCTATTGGACCTATGAAATTATCTAAAATCGAATCTTGTATATGTTGGGTATGGTTGACATGATACATGTAACATCATGTGCATTATGAGCATTGAGGATGGAAAGGAAACTAGAAAGATCATTGAGACAAGTAATGATACGATTTGGAAATCGAATTTGATAAAATGGGTAATAACAAGAAACCATGTGCATGCTCTATTACTAACACTCGTTAAGCGAGGGATAATTCCGCTAACCGTGTGCTTCAACGAGGGATAATTTCATTGCTAGCAATAGATGATAATGAGATCACTAAGAGAAAGTAATAAAGCGAGTAGGTGATAACATGATCATCGAGAATTAGAACGCACGGACTTGCTAATACCTAGGGTACCCGAATTGAAAATGGATGGGAAACATGGGAGATAGAACATTATTGCATATCATGTGCATCATCCCACTTGCGAGCTTCGGCTTACTTTATTTTTATTTTCATGTTATGACAGGAGAGAGTCCAAGTAGTAAGGATGCTTGCTGGATCCTCCAAAAGGCTCATGTGTGACACAAACATATCATAGTTTATTTTGATTGTAATTTACGGATTGGGATATCGGTAGACATTTCAATGGTACTATAAATAAATTTTATACTTTTTTCCATTGTAAATATTCTTGTAATGTAATATGTGTGTACATCTTCCAAGACGTAATATGTAGTATGTTATTATGATACTAGCATAGATGTAGTAGGGTTTAAGTCGGATTGAGAGGGTCGGCGTAACGTGCTCCTCACCTAGCGACTCCTTTTGGGTAATTGGCAAGTGGGTAGAAGAGGAGGCGTAGTAGGGTGGTATTAGAGCTATGGTTTAGCAAGTTGGGTAGAAGCATAAGTGCCATAAAGCCCGAGGACCGGTTGCTCCTTGAAGGGTCATTTTAATTTCGGTTTTTCTTAACTATGAATGATTATTATTGTGTTGTGTAATGTGTATGAAATTGTGTTAGACATTATTATTAACGATAAACCCTATCGCTGTAAATGTCGGTTTTATATCGAGTGCCTTGCGTGCCTAGGACACGTTGGTAGCGAGCGACCACCGAATGCACTTAAGACCGAGCTACACAACCGCACTATGGCTCTGAACCGGGATCCGATGGCTCATGTTTTGCGATACCATGATTGACCTCGGCGAATTACATTCGCTAATGCCTCATTTGACCGGTATGGTAATTCGAACTTTCTTCGGACCACCCTACGTCGGACTCTCCCACCGGGAGATCGGTAATTATTTGACGATGTTTTGGAGAGGATAGTCGGTCGACGTTCTTATTGGGCTCTAATTCGGGCCTTCTTACCAACCTAGGTCGGACGAACCTTCATTCGGCCGATGTACGAATGATGCCTACCCCTACCCATTGAACCAATAAGAAACATTAAACCGAATGATGGAACTTATACGAGCGGTAGCAACGGACACTACAACAACAACAACAACGAGTTCACGCTAAACGGATGAGGCGGCTTTTAGCCGCACAATAACGACCTCCACCTCGAGCACGGGAATGATGCGGGAGAAAGGTTTCGTAAGATGAACCCTCAAAAGTTTGCTAGGGGAGTGAACCCAATGATAACGGAGGAGTGGATTAAGTCCTAGGAGGTAATATTCGAATACTTACAGTTTTCCAACCAAGAGCGGGTGTCATGCGTTATTTTTCTATTAACCAAGGACGCTCGCACGTGGTGAAAGAGCGCACGAATGAAAATAGACGTGCCTACCTTAACTTGGGAAGGATTTAAGGAAGTCTTCTATAACAAATACTTTACTACAAACGTGAAGGATAAGAAAATGCAAGAGTTCCTAGAACTAAAGTAAGATGGGATATCGGTAGGTGAATATGTACGAAAGTTTGAACAAGCCTATAGATTTGTCCCATTCATTGCGAGGGACGAGGACCTAAAAAAGAAAAGATTCCGATAGGGTTAAATCCCAATGTACGAAGTATGGTTCGAATGTTTGTCGCGAATACCTTTTTGGAGATGGTAGATAAGGCGATGATAGGCGATGCGAATCGAAGGAGATTACAAGGGAAGTGCGGCAGAAAAGGCGGGTGTTTAGATTATGAGCCTCCTTATCCGGTCCTATAAAGCGGGGACCGCCCGAATTTCAATCGAAGTGGTGGCCAAATGACTACTTGGACTACCGGACCATCACCTTATGTCCAGAGGCCACTATCGGGGAATCAACCGAGACCATTGATGGGCAATCAACCACGACCAATAATGGGTAATCAACCCCAATGCAATAAATGTGAAAAATTCCATATAGGGGAATGTCGACCAGATTTGAGGGTCCGTTATGTTTCTCAAAAGCAAGGACACATAACCTCTAACTGTCCTCGGACCTAAAACTCGAGATCGAGAAAAGTACCTACACGAGTTTATATAATGACCCAAGAGGAGGTCGACAAGAGAGACATGACGAGTAATATGCGG